CCAGGCGGACGGCGCTGCTGAAGGATTCTGACATCTGTGGTAGTGTAACAGAAGCAGCAGCAAAAGAATATGAAAAAGAAAAAGAAATAAGAGGAGAGGAGAGGAGGGGGTGGGGTGGGGGTGATAGACAGAGAAACGAAAATTTTTTTTTTTTTTATGATCAGCAACCACAAAAACAAGAGAAAACACAAAAAACAAAGAGAAAACAAACAAATAAAGAGAGAAAATACAGAAATAACAGCTCTCCCGTGCAGATGAGGATACTCGTCGAGTTGAATGAATCTGAACAGAGGAAGCGAAGCGGTGAATACTGCGAGAGGATCAGTGGGTAAGCGGGGCGTATATATAAGAAAGAGGCCTCTCTCTATGGCCCTTGACGTCACTCTAAGTATATAAAGAAAAGAAATAAAGATAAAAGAATAATTTAAATGAAGAAGGCCGAAAAAACGCGGAGAAAATGCAGCAATGACTGCTCGCGCGGCTTGTGCAAGTTCGTAGCATCATCACTCTGAGGTGTACATACACCAAAATAAAGAGAAAAACATGATTTAAACAATAAACAATAAAAGGGAATTCAATAAACTATTTTTATCTCCTCTTGTTCTACTGAAAACAGAGCCCGCTACGGGGCCCACCAGCGAAGTCGCACGCGGCAGCGAGGGGCCCCGGTGAGAGGAGCTTGGGGTGTCACGACAGCTGCAGCAGGCGTTGTGGTTGTACTTTATGAGTTGAATTTGTTGTTTATTTCTGTTTTATTTCATTTATTTCTGTCACTCTTCCTGGAAACTCAATACTAGTGGCTCCCTGCATCACCGGCATTCAACTGGCGGTCTGTTCTGCTTTGTCTGCTCACCTCTCGCGATGGCTATTCGGTGCGTTTTCTTATTTTATTTTATTTTTTTATTTATGCTTGCTGCTTGTGAAAGCTGCAGCTTCTCCAGTGTACGTACACCGCACCCCCAACACCTGGCTGCTGCTGCTGCTGCTGCTGCAGCACCGCAGCAACAGGAGCTCCGCCTCAATGACGCTGCTGCACAAGCAGCAGATACAGAGATGCACGGACATATTCCATTGGTCTATTTGATGCAGGGGGTGTAGCTTGTTGGTGACCAGTGGTCACGTGCACTGCAGAGTCACCACTGCTGTTGCTACTGCTGCTTCTCTGCTCCTACTGCTGCTGCTGCTGCTGCTGCTGCTGCTGCTGCTGCTGCTGCTGCTGCGCCTGTAGATCGCTAGCCGACCTCCGGGATTCACACGAAGACAACAACAATGACAACGGGGGGACCTCCTCCTTCGCGGGGGGGGAGCGGTCGGGCCTGGCGATACAAAACCCCGCCGAAGCATTCCCGAACGCAGTGTACGTTCTCTCTGTCTTTGTCTTTGTCTTTGTTTTTTTTTTTGTCTTTGTCTTTGTCTTTATATCTTTGTCTTTGTCTTTGTCTTTGTTTTCATCTCTGTTTTTTTCTTGTCTCTATTTTTGTCTTTGTTTTTTTGTTTCTCTCTGTTTTTATATTTGTCTTTGTCTTTGTCTTTGTTTTTATTTTTTTTCTCATCGCTGTCTTTGTGTTTATCTTTATATTTATTTATACACCTAAAGCTGTATTTTTTCTTTTTTTTTTCTGTTTCTTTCTACCACTCCCCCCTTCACAAACCAATCAATATCCTGAATCAAATGAATAAATAAATACATTTATTTATTTTATTTATTTATTTATTTATTTATTTATTTATTTATTTATTTATTAACAGGAGAGCTGTTGCTCCCCCAGGGGCTCGTCGTGTTGTTTTATATGCAAATGGCTTTCGGGTCGATGACGGCGACTTCCGCCCATTCGGGGTAGAGGAGAACGACCGCTTCCTGCAGGAGCTCAGAGCAGGGTAAGTATAATATTTAATATAAATATAATATAAATATAAATATTATATTTAATATAAATATAAATATTATATTTAATATAAATATAATATAAATATGATATAATATTAATATTAATATAATAGTAGGAATGAAAGAAAGAAGTATATTAACAGAGTTGAGGAGAACGACCGCTTCCTTCAGGAGCTCAGAGCAGGTTAATTATAATAAAATATAAATATAATATTTAATATAAATATAATATAAATATAATATATATAATATATATTAATATAATACCAATAAAATATTAATATAATAAAAAAATAATATAAAAATATATATATATATATATATATATATATATATATATATATTTTCTGCTGCAGTGTA